TGTCTCCCAGCATATTCTTCTGTGCCACTCCTCCAGATGATGGAAACCTCTGCAGATACTACAAACACAATGCAAACTTCTGCTACAAGTCAGATCACTATTACTGGATTACTGGTTTATATAATGAGGGAGTCCATAGCACTTTCATTTTTTTGCATAATAATCATGTATATGGCTGTGTGTGTGTGCAGGCTTCCCGATAATGTGACCTATGAGGAGGGAGCCCTGATCGAACCCTTGTCAGTGGGCATTCATGCCTGCAAGAGGGCAGGGGTCACTCTCGGAAGCTCAGTGTTTGTTTGCGGTGCAGGTCAGTCTTTTCTAATGATTGATATTTATGCAACTGTTACACATTAACTAGCCAATCAGTGTAATTACCTCTGACTTCTTGGCCACTGCCACTTTTCTATAGCGTGTCAGGACTGCAAAACAGTTGTTGCTTAGTCAGCTAATAGCACATCTGGATAACATGGCTTTTGGGAAGTGTGACTGGTTATAGCAAAAATATATTTTTGACTATATACAGTGGGTACGGAAAGTATTCAGACCCCCTTAAATTTTTCACTCTTTGTTATATTGCAGCCATTTGCTAAAATCATTGAAGTTAATTTTTTTCCCCATTAATGTACACACAGCACCCCATATTGACAGAAAAACACAGAATTGTTGACATTTTTGCAGATTTATTAAAAAAGAAAAACTGAAATATCACATGGTCCTAAGTATTCAGTCCCTTTGCTCAGTATTTAGTAGAAGCACCCTTTTGATCTAATACAGCCATGAGTCTTTTTGGGAAAGATGCAACAAGTCTTTCACACCTGGATTTGGGGATCCTCTGCCATTCCTCCTTGCAGATCCTCTCCAGTTCTGTCAGGTTGGATGGTAAACGTTGGTGGACAGCCATTTTTAGGTCTCTCCAGAGATGCTCAATTGGGTTTAAGTCAGGGCTCTGGCTGGGCCATTCAAGAACAGTCACAGAGTTGTTCTGAAGCCACTCCTTCGTTATTTTAGCAGAGTGATTAGGGTCATTGTATTGTTGGAAGGTAAACCTTCGGCCCAATCTGAGGTCCTGAGCACTCTGGAGAAGGTTTTCGTCCAGGATATCCCTGTACTTGGCCGCATTCATCTTTCCCTCGATTGCAACCAGTCATCCTGTCCCTGCAGCTGAAAAACACCCCCACAGCATGATGCTGCCACCACCATGCTTCACTGTTGGGACTGTATTGGACAGGTGATGAGCAGTGCCTGGTTTTCTCCACACATACCACTTAGAATTAAGGCCAAAAAGTTCTATCTTGGACTCATCAGACCAGAGAATCTTATTTCTCACCATCTCACAACTCCATGCGGGCTTTCATGTGTCTTGCACTAAGGAGAGGCTTCCGTCGGGCCACTCTGCCATAAAGCCCCAACTGGTGGAGGGCTGCAGTGATGGTTGACTTTCTAAAACTTTCTCCCATCTCCCGACTGCATCTCTGGAGCTCAGCCACAGTGATCTTTGGGTTCTTCTTTACCTCCCTCACCAAGGCTCTTCACCCCCGATAGCTCAGTTTAGCCGGACGGCCAGCTCTAGGAAGGGTTCTGGTCATCCCAAACGTCTTCCATTTAAGGAATGGAGGCCACTGTGCTCTTGGGAACCTTAAGTGCAGCAGAAATTTTTTTGTAACCATGGCCAGATCTGTGCCTTGCCACAATTCTGGCTCTGAGCTCTTCAGGCAGTTCCTTTGACCTCATGATTCTCATTTGCTCTGACATGCACTGTGAGATGTAAGGTCTTATATAGACAGGTGTGTGGCTTTCCAAATCAAGTCCAATCAGTATAATCAAACAAAGCTGGACTCAAATGAAGGTGTAGAACCATCTCAAGGATGATCAGAAGAAATGAACAGCACCTGAGTTAAATATATGAGCGTCACAGCAAAGGGTCTGAATACTTAGGACCATGTGATATATCAGTTTTTCTTTTTTAATAAATCTGCAAAAATGTCAACAATTCTGTGTTTTTCTGTCAATATGGGGTGCTGTGTGTACATTAATGAGGAAAAAAAAATAACTTAAATGATTTTAGCAAATGGCTGCAATATAAATGTGTTTGTTTTTATCAACATAGGACCAATTGGGCTGGTGTCTTTGTTGGCGGCCAAAGCCATGGGTGCTTCACAAGTAATAATAAGCGGTAATGTATATATGTATAAAAGAGAATTATATATGTATAAATTGCACTTATAAAGTCTATCCTTTTTATCTGTATTTGTAGATTTGTCTTCTGATCGGCTTGCCAAGGCTAAAGAGATGGGGGCAGACTTCCTGCTGCATGTGAAGAAAGAAGACGAACCAAAGGAGATGGCCAAAAAAGTGGAGGGAATGCTTGGTTGCATGCCTCAAATCAGCATAGAATGCACTGGAGTGCAGAGCAGCATTCAAACAGCCATCTATGTAAGTTTAAGACAAAAATAAAGTCATACTGCTAGCCTTATTTTGTGCTGATGATGGTGTTTTTGTCTAGGCTGCTCGTTCTGGAGGAGTGGTGGTGCTGGTTGGGCTTGGTGCTGAGATGACCACCGTACCTCTTCTCAATGCAGCTGTCAGAGAAGTTGACATCAGAGGTGTATTCCGCTACTGTAACACGTAAGTAGGATCACTTGGGCTTGGGATCTACATATGGCTGCTTCAGGAGTTTTAGTACAATGTAGATAAAAAAGATTTATTGTAGTATGTACATTTCAAAATAAGATTTTACTCCTTTGCACACTTTTACCCATGTTCCCTCATTGTTTCTCCAGCTGGCCGGTGGCCATTTCTATGTTGGCGTCTAAGAAGGTGAACGTCAAGCCCCTGGTCACCCACCGTTTCTCACTGGAGCAGGCTGTGGAGGCCTTTGAAACCACCCGCCAGGGACTAGGGGTTAAAGTCATGTTAAAATGTGACAAGAATGATCAAAACCCATGAGATCAACACTTAGACCCACACCTGATTATTATTGCCTAGCTACAGTGGCTTGAATAAATCTGTTTGATCCAGTTAATTTTGCGAGTAACCTCAGGTACAACAGTCATAGGAATTAAGTGATACTTCTTCACAGTGGATCGAATTATTTATAATTCCAGTTGCATTATAATTGAATGAATATGTAGCGTTTTACATTAGTAAAGTGTTTATAAACCAACCGTTTGTTATTATATAATCATGAAGAGTATTAAAATGGAATTTCATGTAACATTGTCAAGAGTGCAGTTTTTAATATAATGCTATACTAATAGCTGGTCATTTTTTTTTACAGTTTACTTACCTTAAAAGTGCTTACAAACAATGAAGCTTTACCATAGATTTATGATGCAAGGATACTTGAGTTGGTCTGAGTGGTTGCTTTAAGTACAATATAAGTTTTGTTTATATTTTTAATCATTTTCATTATGTATATTTTTCCTGTATTTGCTAACCATGTAAATTGAACCATAATAAGTAGAACTCGGAAGTAGTTGTGCAAGTAGTCCATTATATCCTTTTACATAAAATAATGTAAATGTTACATGCAAAAATGGTCATCTAAATCAAAGAATAACTTTCATTTACGCATCACTGAAGTTTGTTTTATTTTATTTTGATTATCATTAGATTAAGGGCACTGCTGAAATGCACAGCATTTGTCATATTTTTGTACAAACTGCGTTTTGTCCAGCGTTTTGAGCGACTTGAATGACCTGCTGAGAAATCACAAATCAGCAAGATATGCGATAGCAGACCTTACCGTCAGTGCGCGTGAGGGAACGCTCTCATGATCCGTACGGAAGCAAATAACGTGAATGGACGTGTATGAGTGAATCAAATGGACAAAGATAACCTCTCTGTGGTCGTGCACTCTAAAGGAGAGCTCAGACTGGTATGATTTTGAATGAATTTTAGCTGAAAATGTGAACTCTGATTGCAGTTGCTAATTGCAGATTTGCTTTCATTTGAATAGGAACAGCGTCCCATTCCGGAACCAGGACCAAATGGTATGTAGTCACTATATATTTTCGAATACAGTGTAATGATGAGCATGTAAACGTTCATGTTAATTTATTAATTTGCTGGATCTTTATTGAAGAGGTGTTACTTCAGATGCATTCTGTGGGTCAGATGTGCACATGTGGCAGAACGGCCGCATTGGGGATTTGTGCTGAAACAGCCCATGGTTTTGGGACATGAAGCCTCTGGTCGTGTGGTGAAAGTGGGCTCTGCTGTGACGCACCTCAAAGCAGGTTAGTTCTCTCTGTTGTATAAACAATTATGCTTAGAATAAATGTACTGTTTCTGCTGTAATTTTTGTATTCAACAGGAGACAGAGTTGCCGTTGAGCCTGGAGTTCCTCGTGAAGTAGATGAGTTCTTTAAATCTGGACACTACAATCTGTCTCCCAGCATATTCTTCTGTGCCACTCCTCCAGATGATGGAACCCTCTGCAGATACTACAAACACAATGCAAACTTCTGCTACAAGTCAGATCACTATTACTGGATAAATGATATAATGAGGGAGTCCATGGGACTTTAATTCTGTGCATTTTAATCATATATGTGACTGTGTGTGTGTGCAGGCTTCCTGATAACTTAACCTATGAGGAGGGAGCCCTGATCGAACCCTTGTCAGTGGGCATTCATGCTTGCAGGAGGGCAGGAGTCACTCTTGGAAGCTCAGTGTTTGTCTGCGGTGCAGGTCAGTCTTGTATAATGATTACACATGTTTGTGCAACTGTTACACATTAACTAGCCAATCAGTGTAATGATTTCTGACTTCATGGCCACAATGGCCATGAAGTCAGAGATCATTACACTGATTGGCTACCTAGTGCGTCAGGATGGTAAAACAGTTGGTGCTTGTTAATTTAAAATCACTGATAGTATGCATTATTTTCAGAACATCATCTCTGTTACATAACTTTTGGGATGTGTGACTGGTTATAGCAAAAAATACTTCTTGGCCACTGCCACTTTTCTATAGCGTGTCAGGACTGCAAAACAGTTGTTGCTTAGTCAGCTAATATCACATCTGGATAACATGGCTTTTGGGAAGTGTGACTGGTTATAGCAAAAATATATTTTTGACAATATATGTGTTTGTTTTTATCAACATAGGACCAATTGGGCTGGTGTCTTTGTTGGCGGCCAAAGCCATGGGTGCTTCACAAGTAATAATAAGCGGTAAGTCATGCATCCTGTGTTATGTGAAAGGGAATTATACAGTATTGTATAAATTGGACTTATAATGTATCTATTTATTTTAGATCTATACTCTGATCGGCTTGCCAAGGCTAAAGAGATGGGGGCAGACTTCCTGCTGCATGTGAAGATAGAGGATGAACCAAAGGAGATGGCCAAAAAAGTGGAGGGAATGCTTGGTTGCATGCCTCAAATCAGCATAGAATGCACTGGAGTGCAGAGCAGCATTCAAACAGCCATCTATGTAAGTTTAAGACAAAAATAAAGTCATACTGCTAGCCTTATTTTGTGCTGATGATGGTGTTTTTGTCTAGGCTGCTCGTTCTGGAGGAGTGGTGGTGCTGGTTGGGCTTGGTGCTGAGATGACCACCGTATCTCTTCTCAATGCAGCTGTCAGAGAAGTTGACATCAGAGGTGTATTCCGCTACTGTAACATGTAAGTCTGGGAATTCACATACAACTGATTTGAGTAGATCAAAAGATGAAAAAAATGTATGCATAATACTATTTACACTTTTGCCCATGATCCCTCATGGTTACTCCAGCTGGCCGGTGGCCATTTCTATGTTGGCGTCTAAGAAGGTGAACGTCAAGCCCCTGGTCACCCACCGTTTCCCGCTGGAGCAGGCTATGCAGGCCTCTGAGATGTCACGCCAAAGGCTTGGGGTTAAGGTCATATTAAAATGTGACAAGAATGACCAGAACCCATGAGATGTGTCTCAGAAATACAGCAATTCTGTTTACAATGGATGAAATTGAGCATCTTAGAATTTTACATGATTAAAATATAGTCCAAATTAAACCTTTTGTCTTATAGAATCATTAACAGTATTAAAATGAAACACTTTTGAGTTTTTAATATTATCCTCTAATAATAGCTGGTCATGATTAGAGTTTACTAATGTTAATCTTGTTTATAAACAGCTAATCTTTACAAATGATATCTCATACTTGAAGTAACCTTTAAGCACAGTATATAACTCTTTGATTATGTTTTAATTATGCTTATTGTGTTTTTGTTCCCTTATTTGATTCTTCAATGTTTATGAAAAATATTGTAGTGTATTTGAATAAACTCTAGGGGGAGCAGTGATCTTCAAAATTGGAGAATGATTGTCGCTCTCACACACACTCATAATGAATAGCCTCTATCTTGCTATAAAGCTTGGCAATGTCCCTCTAATCTCTCCTAAGATCAGATAAAGGAGTTTCATTATTGGGTGTGTGTTTTTCGTATTTGAGAGACTGCAGTGGCACAGGTGACCTGCCAGGCTGACCTGGCAAGTGCCAGAGATTCAAGCTGCGTGAGGGGGATGTTCGCTCGCTTTAGGAGGTCCCTAGTGTAATCCTTAAAGCGCCGCTTTTGCCCTCCAGCAGAACACTTTGCACCCATTAGTTGACTGTAGAGGACTTGGCGGGGCATGCGATGTTCAGGCATGCGTATGGTGTGCCCTAGCCAACGCAGATGTTTTTGGGCCACTGCTGCTTCCATGCAAACTGAGTCAGTATTGCTAAGGATGACTGTGTGGGGAATTCGAGCTTCCCAGGACAAATTGAGGATCTTCTGTAGACAGCATATATGGAAGGCCTCTAGGTTAATAATGTGCTGGCGGTATGGGGTCCATGACTCTGCCCCATAAAGCAGAGTGGAGAGACATACCGCATTGTAAACAGCGACCTTGGTACTGATCTTCAGGTTATGGTTTTCAAAAACCCTGCTGCGTAGGCGTCCAAAAGATGATGAGGCTTTATTTATTCGGGTGTGTATTTCAGTGTCAAGGGAGCAACATGAGGACAAGGTGGAGCCGAGGTAGGTGAAGTGGTCCACTGTTTTAAGTGGAACACCATTTATGTGAAAACTGGGGGGTATGGGGGCGGGGGTAGAGAGATAGGACATAACCTCGGTTTTTTGAGTGTTAACCTGTAGACCAAAAGATTGGTACAGACTAGATATTGTATTTAGAGCGTGCTGCATAGAGTCCGGGCTGTGGGCCAAAATCGCACAGTCATCAGCATACTGAAGCTCACAGATTTGGCAGGACTTTGTCTTTGTGCGGGCCTGGAGTCAACGGATGTTAAAGAGGCTACCGTCAAGTCGATATTCCACATGGACACCGTCTTCATGCCCCATGACACGATGGAAGAGGCAGGTGATGGCAGAGAGGAGGATGTTAAAGAGCACCGGAGCCAAGACACAGCCTTGCTTCACCCCAACGTTTACCTCGAAAGACTCAGACTTGAGTTCTCCCGGTACTCTGGCTTGCATCCCATCATGCAGCTGCTGTAGGATGTTAAGAAACTTGGGTGGTACCCCAAGTTTGGAGAGGTTTCTCCAGAGCAGCTCACGGTTGATGGTGTCAAAAGCTTTGCTGAGGTCGATGAAGGCTACGTGAAGATTTTTGTGCTGTTCTCGACTCTTCTCCAGCAGCTGCCTCAAGACAAAAAC